CTTTGAATACCATTCACAGATATAAGAAAAGCATAGAAAATCAGCGGTTTCCTTCTTTTCCTAAAACTGTTACAAGAATGTTGACACTTTAAAAACTCTTTCATTTACAAGGAAATGTCATCTCACTGAGAATTTTACTGAGCCAACATTTGTTTCAGAAGAAAAGAACAAAAATTTTAATAGTTAATTTGCCATTTTAAAAGCATATGACATGGTGGCTCTGGTACAGAGAAAACCTTGAACCTGTTTGTTGAAGGGAACCAACCACAGACACTGGTTTAACTGATAACACTAGATCTTATACAGGAAAAAATAAAGTCCTTTTCTTATACTTTCTATTTGAGTAGCACTTTATGTTCCAAAAATTTTCCACATTCATTCTTATGCCAAGCACAGTGGCACACACACCTGAAATCCAACACTAAGGAGCCTGAGGAAGAAGGAACCCAAGTTCCTACACAGTTTGAGCTGTGAAGTGAGACTGTCTCAGAAGGATGGCAGGGACACCAAGATGGCTCAGTGGGCAAAGGCACTTGCCGCCAAGCCTACCAACTTGAGTGTGACCTCTGAGACCCACATGGGTCTCACTTCCCACCACCAAATGAATAAATAACTAAAGATGTTATCTCTATTTTCACACATTTCTTTATGCTTATAGTACAAACTTTCTGAGATTCTCCTTTGTGACTTCATGACTTCTGGGAAGAAAGTATGGAAGGTCCTAGTAATCCATTTCAGAGATATGAACACTGGGGTTTAGGGAAGGTGAGTGACTCTCTCAAAGCTGTCAAAATAATTCATAGAGAAGCCAGACAGAGGGTGGTGGTGGAGCACACCTTTAATACCAGTACTTGTAGCCTGGAACTTAGCATAATCAATCATCCTCAGAGGGGATTCACCCAGCAACAGGGGAGAGCAGATGCAGAGACCCACAGCCAAATATTAGGTGGAACTTGGGAAATCCTACAGAAAGGGACAAGGAAGGATTGTAGGAGCCAGAGGGCTTGAGAACACGACCCACAGAATCAACTAGCCAGGTCTCATAAGGGCTCACAGAGAGTCAACCATCAATCAGGGAGCCTGTATGGGTCTGACCTAGGCCCTCTGCATATCTTGTGGTTATGTAACTTCGTGTCCCTGTGGGACTAACAGTGGCAGTGGGGACAGTTTCTGACTTTTTTTTTTTTTTTTTGACTGCTTTTGGGATCCTTTTCCTCCTACTGGATTGCCTCGTCCCTCCTTAATACGAGGGGATGTGTCAGGTTTTATTATAACTTGGTATGCCATGTTTGGTTGATACCCTGAAAGGCCTGCCCTTTTCTGAAGGGAAAGGAGGAGGATTAGATCTGGGGGAGAGGGTTTAGGGGAGAAGAGACTTGGAAGAAGGAGAGGGGAAACTGAAGTGGGGATCAATATATGAGAGAGGAATAAATTTAAAATAGATAAATAAGTAAATACTGTTTAAAAAAAGAAAGAAATGGATTTGTTCATCTGGAACAAATGCTTGATCAGAAGAGGAGATTCTCATGAGTTTAGTGAGTGCCATTAGCTTAAATAAAAAGCAGCAATTAAGTGTTCCCCTTTTTCTACAAGTGCAGAAGTTGATACATTTTTATTTTCATTTCGGAAGATAAGTTCCTTAGGAAATGTGCGATGAAAAACAAACAGGTGTCTAACTGCTTGCTTATTTGGCAAAGGATTCTTTCATTAAAATAAAATAAGCTTTGCAAACAAATACAGTCCCCGTTTAATCCCTGGCTTCCATGGCTAGCCCCATAGACAGCAGGTGAGGATTCTACCACAAAACCAACCACTTGTGTGCTTAAGCTGGAAAAAGAGGAAGGCTGGCCAGATGCTGACAACTGCCACCTTCCTGAGCCCCAGCCTCTTGGGGGGTGGTTGTTTTTGATGGATTGGTTGGCTTTCAAACAAAGTCACTCTATAGCCCAGGCCTGGAACTTGCGTGTCTCCTGCCTGCACTGTCAGAATACTGGGTTTACAGGTGTGCACCACCATGCCCAGTGCTTTCCTTTTATTTAATGTCCATTTGGTTGTCATTGTAGTAAAGTATCCTAACAGGACCTGTAGTCATGGCGACTTGGGGGTGGGGGGACTATGGAGTTAAGGAGTCCAGCTGCATCACCGTACAAGGACCACTGCGTAAACCTCCCCATCAGCATCAAAAGAGGAAGTGTCCAGGTCCTTTGTTCCTTGCCTGGGTGTAGAAGAGAGGAGGAAAATGTCAGCAAGCAAGTCTCAAAAGGTGCCAGCAGCCAACTCCATGGTCACGGGGCTTTTCATGACAAACATAGCGAGGCAGTTTGAGGATGAAAAAACTGTGCCCAGGCCACATCTGTCACCTCTCACCTCAGGTTTAACAGAAGCTTCAGCCCAGTACAACCCTGTCTCTAGATCCTGCAAGCGCTCATCACACCACTGATGCTTCAAGAAGAAACAGTTTCCAGAAACACTAACATGACCACTCTTTGGTGATTAATACAGTTTTGTTTTGGATTTTTTGTTTGTTTGTTTTTGTTTATGTTTTTCAAAACAAAAGGAGACTTTGGGGATAGAATATAAGGTTGCCATAGACATGAATTATCTTTGTAGGTAGAGGGAGAGGGTGACACTGTTTAAAAAACTCTTCATAGGCAGGCAAATTTCCACTCTTAGTCTAGCAGTGAGCATCAGGTTCCCACTAAGTCCTAACAGCCATCCCCTTATCTGTCTCTAACCGTGCATGTTTCTGGTTTGATTCGATTTGGGTTGGGCTGGGTTTTGGTTTTTGAAACAGTCTATTATAATCCAGTCTGGCTTGAACTTGCTATGTGGCCAAAGATGACCTTGAACTCCTGAGCCTTCGTCATTCAGCTCCCTTGTTTCTCCATTCCACCACCACACCCAGCATGTATTCATACGTAGGTTTCTGTTGTTGTGTTTTCTTTTCTTTTTCTGCCTTCTCTGTTAAGGATGCCTTCTGTTATTGTTTTCTGATACCACAGAAAATGAGAGTAGTGAGTCTCTGCGAGCTCATGAAAGATTAAATTAAAATCACCAGGAATCAATTTTTTATGGGCTATAAAGCTCTGAATCACCTAGTATGTTTTTCTGGGTAACGGAGTCTGATCAAATTCCCACTTCACTCAGCTTTCCTGCTGGAATTGCAGATATTTCCCTCTCCCCACTCCCATCCCAGGGCTTACAGCGCTGTTCCTCCATGGGCGGGCAGACTCACATAGCTAAACCTGCCTTGAGTGGGAGCTGTAGAGGAAACCCAACTCTGTTTTAAACTAACTGGTTCCGTAATATTGATAAGCCTTCTGGATAAATGACCTTAGATATTGAACCAAATATTTGTGCTTCTCCGTTATGATCTTTGGGGAGCAATAGAGAGTTCTTTCCCTTGCTTGAGTATTTTCTATATCTATTTTTAGAGACACAAAAATACCTCAGATTTGTATTAAGTGTCCAATGCCTAGTTAGCTTTCTCTTTTCATCTAAACTGATATAGATTGATAAGGCTCTCCTCCTATCTGCTTCTACTACACCCCGAGCCCAAATCACCTATTTGTCTCAACAAGGAACTCGGGCATGCAACAGCAGCAGCTTGGTAGAAGCAATCAGACATCTCCAGGAAAAAGCTATCATCTGCCAGGACAGAAAATGAGTGCAAATTCACCCCCTTACTTCAACCTGCAAGTCTGTCTTACTGTCGTGTTGAAAGTCTGCTGGATGTCCATGTCACACCATACCCCATCACCATCCCTCTTTTGCCTTGAGGGAGTTAACACTTACTGAAAACAGTTAAAAAGAAAGAATACAACACTGTAAAAAAGAGTCAGTCTCCAGGTTTTGCCACTATGGGGGTGGGGGGATGTTGTAATAGAAAAGAAAAAAAAGTCTGTGTGCCAAGGTCAAGCCTCTTTATCCCTCCTCTGTTTTAAACATGGAAATCCATCCTACAGAAAGGGTGGCCTTCTCATTTGACAGTGGAGCTGCTCAGAACATTCTTAAAGTCTTCAATCATTGTATCAATTTAAGGAAACAAACTCTTCCACCCTAAATGTAAAAAACAAAGGCGACCCCAGATTCGTTCCACCTTCACGTAGTTTAACTGTTTCAGATCCATACGGGCTTTTTTGTTTTGTTTTTTCACCTTTACCCTAGAGGATTAGCTGTACGCACACAAGGAGTAACCAGTTCTCGCACTGAGAAACGTTTGTAGGTTCTTTGCGCTTTAACACACTTACAAAAGCAGCATTTATTTTCTGCCAGATCCTTCTTGAACATTTCCAGTTCAAGGACAGTTGCTGGCCACCTCCCATCCCTCACAGGGATACAGCTTCCTGAGACTTCCCACTGCCACTGCTTGTGTGGTAGCTATGAAAGCGTCCAACCAGAAAGGTGACTCCGCAAGCCCCAGCTTGATGCCCTCAAATGTCTCCACCTGTTCCAATGTCGCCACCACCCAAGCTCAGAAAGGACTGGCTGCAAGCCAGAGGAGGCAGCTGTCCTCCCAGCCTCTGGCTGCCCTGTCAGAACCCAGGGGTGGAAGAAAGGAAGGAAAATGTCCCCACCACCTGGCACAGGGCCCATCATCCTGCCTCCTACTTATTGCATCCTTTACACATGCCGGATCCAGTAGGACCAGGAACAGAGCCCAGCTGAACATTGAGTACCCCACGAGGGACTCACAGGACCGACTTCTCTGTTCTAGCCTGGGCCTCCCCGGAGGGGCGCGCCACTTGGTGGCCGATGATAGATCCACGGGTACCAGGATGGGGTGGCTGCTGGGCCCTAGAGCGCAGGGCACGCCCCAAGAGCCCTGGCTGTCATTGCCAGGTAACTGAGGTGGACAGCCTAGCTGCACTTGAAGGGGAGCACCCCCGTCTGCATCTACGAATTCCCTCCCCAAAGTAACAGAAGCTAGTATCTGGAGTACAGGAGCCCCAACAGCCAGAGAGAGGCTGCAACTCCAGGCGACAGTAGTGTCCACTCACCTGGCAGTCAGTGCCGGAGACCCCAGCGGGACAGGTGCAGCTGTAGCCGGGCTCATCATCAGCCGCAGGATGCTCCTGGACGGCCACCGAACGCGGGGTGCACACACCCCCGTTCCGGCAAGGTTGAGCGGCGCATGGTCCCGGAGCAGACAGGGGCGCGGCGGGCACCGGGCTGGCTAAGCAGCCGCTCTGGGGCCCAGCACCGAGCAGCAGCAACGGCAGCAGGGCCAGCGCGGGCAGCAGCTGGGCACCGGGCGCCTGGGTGCGGCGGGGATGCATGGCGGGCGGAGAGGACTCGGGAGCCGGAGAGGAGCTGGGCGCGGTGGCAGCGGCGGAGCTAGCGGCGGAGATGGCGGTAGCAGCGGCGCCAGCGGCTGGTGCTGCTCAGCGGGACCGGACGCCTCCTGCAGCTGCAGGAGCCCGTGGTTCCCCGGGCAACCGCGGGCGGGGCCGGGGGCGGGGCCCGCGGAGGCCCGGCGCGGGGCGGGAGGACCCGGGATGGGAAAGCTTCTGCTCCGAGTCTCAGCAAGTTGCAGGAAGGCTGTCCTCGGTTTCCAGCCTCAAGGGGTCAGAGTCGTGGGTGTGTCCAAAGGAAGACCGGAAGGCACAGAGGTGGGGGCGCGGGCCTGGAGAGGGCCGCGAGGCGATGCTGGGGTGGAAAGTGGGTGGAGAGGCCCCCGCAGCCTGGAGAGACCGCTTCAGATGACTCGCAACTGCCACTCGCGACCTCTTGGCGCAGAATCTGTGAGGTCGCAGCGGGACCTGCCTGACCTCATTCTAGCGGGTTCTCCACCCGCTCCCAAAACACTGGTCCCGGTCCCCAGCACGTACAGCTCTCGTGTGCCACCGGTGAACTCAACCCACTTCGCGTGGACCTGACTTTGCACCTCCAGGAGCCGCTGCGGGGCCCTTGTCCTTGGTGCTGAACCTGTCTCCCCGACAGGCTTGCAGAGCGCGCAACTCAGAAGGATTGTAGTTCACAAGAACTCAAAGAAGCCTGGGGTGGCTGGAAATGGGGGAATCAAAGTGCCCGACCCTATTGTGGAATGAATACAGGAGGAAACTGAGACCCAAACAGGCTAGGTGGAACCCAGTTGATCACTTGATTTCCCTCCCAGAACACTGTGAGAACCTTCGTGTAGGTTCGCAAAGGCCCTTCCAGCAAAGACATTTGTTACTGAACTTGGCGGGGAAGGAGGTTTCACCGTGACCTACTTCAAGGGCTGCTGTATATCCTCTCTGTTATGCTACTCCTGGTGTGGCAGCAGCAGAACTCATCCGGCTTTGTCTCCACTCACAACCCGCCTTTCACGGCCCCTACTATGAATAGACTCCTAAACTACTTACCCTGTCTGTGCAAAACTGAAGGGGGCGGGAAGGGCAGTGGCTAAACGGAGGAGATGGCTCACATCTGTAATCCCAGTGGTAGGAAGGCTGAAGCAGGAGGATCAAGAGTTTCAAGGTCAGTCTTGACCACTTAGGGAATTCAAGGCCAGTTTGAGCTACATGAAACCCTGAAGAGGAAAAGAAGGAAGAAGGGGAGGGGGGGACGAAAAGAAGGAGGGAGAGGGGAGAGAAGAAAGGAGAGGGGAAGAAGAAGACAGGAAAATAGGGAAGGGAAGAGAATGGAGAAAGGGAGGAAAGTAACTCTTGAACTAACAGACTGGGAAATTTTTCTACAGAACATAAAAAGATTGTTTTGTAAAAGGCTGAGCTAATAACAAAGTGGAGACTTCATGAAACGCTTATAAGTGCCACAGATCTAGAGGCCAGGAGCTGTTGAAATCTCTCTAGTGGAAGAAGAAGGGCAACTGTTTGGCCATCCCAAGCCAGTTTAGATCTCATATCAAATCTGTTTAGAAGATGCCTAAAATTCACGCGTTACAAGATGACACCCAAACCCCAGCCAGATCTGTGCCCAGCAGGAGTTGTTCAAACTGAGTGGACCCCACCAATCACCGCATTCCCTCCCACCTGCTTGCATTTTATTTGAGACCTCTGCTTTTTAAGTCCTAATTTTGTGCCACTGCAGCGCCCTCTGCTGGCCCTAGTGTCATCATTCAGATGATTCTTGTGTTCTCTGGACCACACCAGGAACTACACTCAGTTCCTCTAACATCTCCTTCCTAGAGTAACAGCTACAGTTGTTCGTATCCTTCCATCAAGACACAAAAAAAGACAAAGGACATTTTTTCCAATCAAAAAGGTTGTGAACAATTAATAGAATATTTCCACTTATTAACTTTTTGTCCAAGCAAACCCTTGATGAATTTCTTAACATTTTCAAATAGAGGAAATAAAGAACAGCCTATTTTCTGGTGCTGATGTCTGAATTTTCTAGGCAATGGCCCTTGGGTTCTTGCTTTTGTTTTTGTTTTTTGGGGGGTTTTGTTCGTTTGTTTTTTGAAGTAGTATGTCTTTCATTTTTAAAGGACATATTATGGGGGTGAAACAATACTGAACCATTTTCTCTTTATTGCAAGCTAAATCTTCCAACTTGCACTCATTAACTAATTTTGCCTGGAAAATAAAACATTTATCCACCATGAATTAAAAAGAACTGACAGTCCAATGAAAAGGTTCCACCCAGGTTCAGCTTCATGAAGCAATGTTTTTATTGGGATTGTCACAGGGCTATCAGTGACACAGCTATGCTACTGGGAAGTCACCTGAATGACAGCTACACCACAGAGGATTCCCACTTACTTTGATCATATAGTGGCAAATGGACTCTCTGGGAGGGGAGGGGCCATGCATCCCCCTCCCTCCATGAGAAAATATTAATAGGCCACATCTTGTGTGGAAACTCACAGCTGTTCTACTTCAAAATGATGAAGGCCATGTCCAATTGAGAGGAGACAGCTCTATCACACCTGGAGTCATGTGGTTAGTTCTGGGGAACAGAACGTGGATTTGTAGCTCCTGGCCCCAAAGCACCCATGCTAGTATTGCATCCCTGTTACTGCTGTTCATTATAAACTTTCCAGATTGTAGTGACAGCAGGAACAAAATGGACTAAAACAAGAGGAGGCATTGGGCCCTGCTCCAAATGATGATGTGACAAACTTTGAAGACTCTCCATGGAAGGCCTCACCCTCCTTGGGGAGCAAAAAGGGGATGGGAGGGGGTTGGTGGGGGGACAGGGGAGGACATGAGGGTACGGGAACTGGGATTGACATGTAAAACAAGCTTGTTTCAAATTTAAATTTAAAAAATAACAACAAAAAAAAACAATAGAGGAGGCAGAAAACCACCATTTTGTAAATTTGGAATAGCACACATAAAGGCTATCTTTGTCTTTGTTCTATCATCATGAAGAGACACCACGACCAATGCAACTCTTTTTTTGCTTGTTTGTTTGTTTGTTTTTGTTTTCTGAGACAGGGTTTCTCTGCATAGCTTTGAAACCTGTCCTGGTACTCACTCTGTAGACCAGGCTGGCCTCAAACTCACAGAGTGAACCAAGACATCTCTTATAAAAGAAAGGATTTGATTGTGGACTTGCTCACAGTTTCAGATGTTAGTCCCTTATCATGGCAGGAGGCATGGTGTGAACAAAGTAGACATCTCTGAAATTCCATATCCTGATCTGTGAACAGAGAGAGACTGGGCCTGGTGTGGACATCTGGAACCTCAAAACCCAACTCCTAATACTTCTAATCCTTTCAAATAATACTCCCTGGTGACTAAGCATTCAGATATATGAGCTATGGAGGCCATTCCTATTCAAACCACCACACTTGGGTTGCCGAATTTCTAGAGTTAGCACAAACAAAGCCAATACTGTTTTAGTCTGTTCTGCTGTTACAGGGGTGGGGTGGCACATAAGAGATCTTTTTCAAGAGTGTACTGGCTAGTTTTATATCAACTTGATATAAAAGCTAGAGTCATCAGAGAGAAAGGGGCCTCGATTGAGAAAAATACTTCTATCTTAGGGTTTTATTGTGTGAAGAGATACCATGATGAAGGCAACTCTTATAAAGGAAAACATTTAATTGGGGCTGGCTTACAGCTCAGAGGTTTTAGTCCGTTATCATCATGGCAGTAGCACAGCTGCACACTGGCAGACAAGGTGCTGGAGAGGGAGCTGAGAGCTCTACAGGCAGTAGAAAGTGACAGTAACACACAGACCAGGCTCCAGCTTCTGAGACCTCAAAGCCTACCCCGAAGTGATGCACCTCCTCCAACAAAGCCACACCTTCTCTAATAAAGCCACACCCACTCCAACAAGGCCACACCTCCTGATAGTGCCATTCCCTGAGTCTACAGACGTTATTTTTATCCAAACCACTCCAACCTCTGTAAGACCGTGCAATAGACAAGCCTGTGGGGCATTTTCTTAATTAGCGATTGACGGAAGAAGACCCAGCTTGGTATGTCTAGTACTGGGTTGGTGGTCCTGGATTCTATATGAAAGCAGGCAGAAGCAGGCATGGTGGCACATCCCTTTAATCCGAGCACTTGGGAAGCATAGACAGGCAGATCTCTGAGTTTGAGATCGCCTAGTCTACAAGGCAAGTTCCAGGATAGTCAGGGCTACACAGAGAAACCCTGCCTCAAAAAAACAAACTAAAAACAATGTAGGAAGAAGAAAGAGACAAGGAAGGAAGAAAGAAAGGAAGGAAAGAAGGAAGGAAGGGAGGGAGGGAGGGAGGGAGGGAGGGAGGGAGGAAGGAAGAAGGAAGGAACGAAGGAAGGAAGAGAGGAAGGAAGGAAGGCTGGCTAAGCCATGAGAAGCAAGCCAGTAAGAATTTTTTTTTTAAGTTTTTTTTTAAGTTTTTTAAGTTTCTGGAGTCAGGGTCTCTCTGTATAAGCACTGTGGCTGTCCTTGAACTTGCTCTGTAGACCAGGCTAGCCTCGAACTCACTGAGGTCTGTTTGCCTCTGCCTATTGAGGACTGAAATTAAAGGCGTGCAACACCAATGCCCAGCTGGATTGAAACTTTTGTTACCATGACACTTACCCTTTGCTCCCTCATGGCTCCTCTTAGCACCTCCTAGAATTTCCTTACTCCCCCACCCCCACAACCTGCTTATTCACTCTTGGGTCTGCAACTCTTTCCTTGCCTAATTTCCCTAGGAGCTATCTCTCCTAGGAGGAGATAGAGTTCCTGGGTCTGAACGTTGTGAGTTTCCTAGTCGTCCCTAGGAGCTGCAGGCTAAGTCCCTCAGCTTCTATTTGCCCTCATGGCTTCTGCAATATTGAAACCCTCCCTCGAGTGGAGTTCCTGCTAACTCCTCCTTGTCCCTTATGGCTACACTGTTCTCTGTCTCTTAGCTGCCTAACCACCCCTGTGGCGGTGTTCGTTTTATAACCTGTCCTTGTTTCTCCTGAGACTCAGAGATTTTCTTAAAGCCTTGATGTCTTACAGAAAATGGATTGGCCTCAGTACAGCTGGATGACCAAAGATAGGACACTCAAGTTCTAAATTCTCCCAGCATCCGTCAGTCCCTGCTCC